TGTGTTTTACATAATCAGTATTCCTCCCCTTCTCCCTCAAGAGCCATCCCACATAACAAACAGTATTTTTCAGCGGGGAAGAAAAACCCCTGCACAACTAACTTGCCATTTTCTGTCTTTTCTGCCCATTTCCATGGTGTGAGATGAAACCTCAAAGTTGTTTTGATTTACATTTCTCTTGTTATTTAGTGATTTGGAGCATTCTTTCATGTGACTGAATACTTTGCAGTTCTTTTGGAAACCATTTGTTCTTTTGACTACTTATGTATTAGGGAATGGCTATTAGTCTGATATATTTATCAGTTGTTTATGTATTTTGAATACCAAATTCTTATCAGAAAAATTTGAAGTAATTCTCCTCTCCCTGCATCCCCCCATTCAATCACTTCTGTTATCCTAGGTACGTTAATTTTGGCTGTGCAAGAAGCTTTTTAGTTTCATGAAATCAAAGTTATCTAGTTTATTATTTGTAATTGTCTCTATTTCTTGTTTGGTTCAGAATACAACTCCTATCCATAGCTGTGAGAGGTATATGATCTGCTTCTCTTCTAATTTTTTAAAATAATATGACCTTTAATATTAAGGTGGTATATCCACTGAGACCATATCATAGAATATGGTGTAAGGCATTAGTCTAAACCTAATTTGTGCCAGACTGCTTTCCAGTTTTCCTAGCAGTTTTTAATCAAATAAGGTGTTTTCTTCTTAGATAATTTATATTTTCTACTTAACCAAACATAGTTATTGACTTCTATTGTTCCTGACTCTCCCTTGTCGAGTATGTTCCATTCATTTATTTTTTTAACCACTACCAGATGGTTTTGACGACTGCTGCTTTATAGTATAGTTTGAAGTTTAGAAGTACTATTCTTCCTTTCATCCCTACTTCTTTTCATCATTTCCCTTAATATTCTAGATCTTTTGTTTTTCTGAATGAATTTTGTTATTATTTTGTCAAATTCAATAAAGTATCTCCTCATAGAATCAAAAGTATAAATTAAATTTGGTTATTATCCTCATTTTTATTATTTTGGCACAGCCTAGCTAAGAACATTGAATATTCATCCACCTATTTAATGTGTTCTGTGGGAATTGAGAGAAAACCTTATTGTATTGTTTGAACCTAGCCCTGCATACCTGGGAAGCTGGATCACCTCTTAGAGACCCCAAGATTGATGCAAGGAGTTTTCTCACAATTATACATCTCAAACAACCCATATGTCTTATCTGAAAACTGGCCCCATACTGATCAATCAGTTATTGTTTCCATGTTCCTTTGGTTGTTTACAAACACATGGGTGAGTGGGACCTCTCTTTTTATGATTTCTGGGAATTGCACCTGTTTGCTCTTCCTCTCCCAACTTGCAAAGTCCCTAATCTTTCCTCCAATTAGAAATCAGATTACCGAATATTGTACCCTGGTTGCTTCCTTTTAATTAATTGGCCTTATTTGACTGTTTTTAACATATAAAAATCTGTCTCTCCCTGTATTCAGGGTCCAGTGCCAAAGCTAAGGAAGGCTACTGATCCTGATTTGTTAGGCAACTTGCACACATTGCTTAATAAATCAAAATGCTTAGAAGTTTGAACCTTTGTTTCCTCAGTCATTTCAACTTTCACTCCCCACAGTTCTTTATTTCCATAAGGAGTACTTTGTAACTGAATCTATACAAGTCTTTTGGGTGCTTTGGTAGGTTGATCCCTAGATATTTTATACTGCAGTTATTTGGAATGGAATTTCCCTTCCTATTTTTGCTTCTTAGGTTTTGTTATTATATTGAAATGCTGTCGATTTTTGAAGATTTATTTTGTAGCCTGCAACTCTGCCGAAGCTATTAATTATCTCAATTAGTATTTTTGCTGATTCCCTAGGATTTTCTAAGCATATCATCATATTGTCAGCAAATAAGGATAGTTCCAGTGATTCTCCTATTGTATCATGCTCCCTCCCAATGTGTCAATATCCCTCTTAAGGCAGAACTTAATACAATACTCCAGATGCATTCTAAGTATTAAAGAGAAGTATGGAATTATTAACTCCCATGACCTGGACACTATCCTATTAATACAGCATTAATTTCCTTTAGGAGTTGTATCATACTAATGGCTCATTCTAAGTTTAGAGTCACCTAGCTCCTCAGGTTTTTCTTCCAGTCATGCCTACCCCACCCTACACTTGTGTATTTGAACTATTTAACCTAAATGCAGGACTTTATTCCTACTTAATTCCATTTAGTTTATTTTATCATAGCTTTCCAACCCATTTTTTTAAAATTTTGTCTGGAAAATTTACTTTAATAAATGCCAAGTTGCTTAAATATAGCATATTGAACATGTAGTACACAAAAGAGAAATCTGAAAATCCAGGCACTAATCTTCTACTCCCCTTTATCCCATTTTGTTTCATGGTTATCTTTTAATGCCTAATTTTCAAGAAATAATTATGAAGTCTTGAATTGTGTCCACACAAGTACCAGTTACTTGACTACCTAGACAGTGGTGGGGAACCTGTGGCCTTGAGGCCACATGTGGCCCTTTAAAAAAAAAAAAATTTTTTTAATAATTTATTTTTAGTTTTCAGCATTCACTTCCATAAGAGTTTGAGTTTTAAATTTTCTCCCCCTTCCTCTCCTCCCCCCTCCCCAAGACAGCATTAATCTGATATAGGCTCTACTTATACATTCATATTAAGCATATTTTCACCCAGCCCATTCTTAATCATGATTTCATTATTCAACATAAAAGCCATAGCTTCCAGCTCTATATCACCCACAAATTATCTGATTTGAGCTTTACAGAAACCTTGTCAAAAAGGAAGAATATGTGTTAGTTCCATTTTATAGAAGAGAAAACTAAGACTCAGAGAACTTAGATGACCTGTCCAAATGTGGTATGTTTTTTGAATAGCATCTTACCTCCCATGTAAGTTCAGGCTGTTCCCCATTCCTTGAATGCATTTCTTTCATATCTCTGCCATTCAGCATCCTTCTCTTATCTCCCCTGGGAAGTCTTTTCTAAGTTCCCACATGAAAGTATTCTCTTTCTCTTCAAATTTTCTTACAGCATTTTAACTGCAACTCTTTGCCTGATCACATTCTATCTTGTATTATATTTATCTGAGTATCCCCTCAGTTTTGCAAACTCTCAGAGAACATCCAATCCTAACCTTACTTAATAAAGAGTCCCTTCTATAACATTTCCTAACCCTAAACACTTTGAGTGAGGGGGAAGCCACCACCTACAGAGGCAGCTCATATTGCCTTTCTATTCCTTCCTTCAGTTCTAAATCTGCCTCTCTGCAACTTGATTTATTCTTTCAATAAACATTTATTAATCATCTACTATGTGCAATGCACAGTGCCAGTCACTGGAGAGACAAATACCCAAAGGCAAATAGTCTCTACCCTTAAGATGATTACATTCTAGTGAGAAGAAAACAAATGTGTATCTAGATTAAATCAATTAAAAAATATACAAAGTAATTTTGAGGATATGTAATGGGAGGACACTAACAACTGAATGAATTAGAAAAGAACTAAGCCATAAAGATTAGAAATTCTAAGCAGTAGAAGTGAAAAGAAAGTATATATTTCTCATTGCAGACTCTCAGGTAAAGCAACACAAGTTGAATCCCTCTTCTGTATGACAACCATTAAAATATTTGAAGTCAGCTATCATATCCTATCCTGTCCTTCCCATTATCCTCTCCCTATGTATTCTCTTCTCCAGGTTAAATATCCCCAGTTCCCATTCCACAGCATGATCTCAAGGCTCCTCATCAACTTAGCTTCCCTACTTTAGATGCTCTCCAGCTAAACAAAGAGGACAAGCTGTGGCCTAAGCAGTGCAATGAACTATAATGCAATGAACTATAATAATACAACATGCTGGAAACTATGATTTGTTTCAAGAAGATGAAGGTCAATGGAATAGACTACAAGCTCCCAGACGACAAGCACTGTCATTTTTTATCTCTGCATCTAATATAGTGCCCTGAACATAAAGGCATTTAATATTTACTTGCTCACTAAATAGTGAGACAACTCTGATTGTTAAAAAGTTGTTTACCATATTTAACCTAAATCTGCTCCCAAACCCAAATTTTCTGACTCCCAGGGTTATTGCTACAATGGGATTCAGCAAAGCTTGTTAAGGGGATTAACTTGCTCTTTTTCCGTCTACTTCATCCTTCACTGCAAAGGAGAGGAACCTTGAGTGTGGAACACTGTATAAAATAACATCAAACTTTTTTGATATGCTGGTTAGTCTTGTGGAATTTTTTTCTTTCTTCTGCTTTTTAAATTCTTTATTATAAGGAATGGTTCTTTGGGAGGTGGGATGAGGGATACAGTAGACAATGTAAGTGATATAAAAACAAACGATATAAAAATTTACTTTAAAAAGCAAAAACAACCCAAAATTTACTATTCTTCAAATGCTGGAAGGGACTGACTACAGACTGAATGACCCATGCCCTGGGCAGAAACCCTAAACTTTTTAGTATTCTTGAGGTCTTTAGGGACAGGTATGACTCGTAGCTTGGCTGGATACTATGAAGCTGCTGTCAGATACTAGCTTCATATAGAATGTTAGGCATCAGGGGCCCTTAAGAACAGGGGTCTATAAACTGATTTTAGAAATATTTTGTTAACTTTTTGACTTAATTGGTTTCATTTGTAATCTCATGTATTTTACGCATTTAAAAAACATGATTTTAAGGAGTCCATATCCTTCAGCACACTGCCAAAGGGACCCACGACACATAAAAGGTGACGAACTCATTTTATAAGTGAGAAAACTAAGATTCTGAAAGATAAAGAACTTGCCCAAGGTCACACACATAGCAGAACCCTGACCTTCTAACTCCAAATCTAGGGCTCTTCCCACTGAACCAGACTACATGAGGAAGTCAATGGACAATCAGCTCACTTTGTTCAGTTCCATGTAGGTCCATCAGTTACTAGGCCCTCATCTGGAACAGTCCCAGCAATAGCACTTACCTCCATCGTTCCTCAGGGGACAGGTCTGAAAGATCAACCTGGAGAGAAATACCACCAGAAAACCAGTTACTAATACAGTGACAAGACAAACCTGCTAAACATTTTACTGATGTGGCGATACGCATCTTCAACAATGGTCATCGAGGTCCCTAAAGAAGTACAAGGCTTGTCGTCTCCAGGGAGCTTTACCTGATTACTCTATCCCATACTGCTGTCTGTTCTCTGCCTCCCAAAGCACATTATCACTCACTTTGGTCCTTAATTGTATAATGAAACAATTATTTAACTTTCAGAGAGATACCATGATGCAGTAGAATAAACACTGAGTTAGAAGCGATGGAGTTTAAATCTTGCCCCTGCCACTTACTAGACATATGCACCTGGTCAAATCCCTCACCCTCTCTGGGCTTCAGTTTTCTTCTCTGTAAAATGAGAGGGCTGAATTACAAGGTCCCTTCCAGCTCTAAATCTATGATCCCATGAATATTTGTACCAATCTACATCACCTCCACTCATTTTGGTCCTTAATTACTGACATTCTTATGTTATCCCCTCCACTAAGGCCCACTCCCAATGCCTTTACCACAACCCAGAGGTGAAAGCCCAGTGGAATAAAAGTTCTGGCAAATACTACCAAGCAGGAAAGGATTCCAATGTGACTTTGGAAATGGTTTGTGTGCCTGTTATGCAAACACTAGATCAGCTAAATTAGAAAAGGCTTGTCACCAGGAGGGTAGTTACTAGATGCTGATTTTTTTTTTAACCCTAGAAACTCCTGAAGTCCTCTGACTAAAGCCTAGAGTGAGTAGGTATCCAATCTGGTGGAAGGAGGACCTACATCAGTGAAACCACAGATTCTTTTAAGTGCTGAAAAACTGAATATGGAGTCAGGCCACCTGGGTTCAAATTCTGACTCTCCTAATGCAATGCTAATAATGATCATAACAAAAGCTGACATATGTGTTTGTGTGTGTGTGTGTGTGTGTGTGTGTGTGTGCATATACATTACCCGCATATATATATATATATATATATATATACACATATGTAATTTTACAGTTAACAAACCAGTTTATATGAATTCTCATTTGATAGTTTAAATAATTCTATAAGATAGTCAGGGCAGGGCATTGTCCCTATTTTGCAAACGAGAAAAGGGAAGCTCAGATAAAGTGACTTATTTTCACATGTCTACTAAGATTTAGCTAGGAATTCATGCCAGCTTGGATGCAAATCCAAGTATGCAGAATCCAAACCCACAACTTTTTTCCTCTACACCACAGATGCTGCTATGGTGATTAAATAATGTGATGAAACATAAAGCACTTTGTAAACTGGTAGGACCTATTATCATTATCATGGACACAAGTTAGAAAGTGGAGAAACTGTTGGTCTCCTACCCATATGCTTTCACTCTTTTTGAGAAAGGCAGGATGGTAGGCAAAAGACTGTAAAAGCTGATCCTGTTATTTGGATAATAAACCTAAAATCTGGTTAGCACCTGGAAACACAAATCGATAGTCAACAAGTATTTATTAAGTGCTTATGTTCTAGGTACCATACTAAGCACTGGGGATTCAAAAAAGGACTTACTCCCAAAGAGCTCACAGTCTAAGACATGAAAACAACTATGTAAAAACAAGATACATATGGGAAAATTTGGAAATAATTAACAGAGGGAAGATACCAGCAGTGAAGGGGATTGTGAAAGTCTTCTAGTAAAAGGTAGGATTTTAGCTGGGACTTCAAAGAAGGCAGGGGATGGAGATGAAGAGGAACAGAGTTCTAGGTATGGGGAGAGCCAGTGAAAATATTAAGAGCTGGAAGATGGAGTGTTGTGTTCAAGTAACAGCAAGGTAGCCAGTGTCCCTGGATCACAGAATGTATAGAAGGAAGTAAGGTGTAACAAGACTGGAAAGGTTGGGGTGGGGTGGGGTGGGGTGGGGAGGAAGGTTATGAAGGACTTTGAATTTCAGAGAAAGCATTTTATCTTTGGATAGCTCTGGAGGTGATAGAATGCCACTAGAATTTATTGAATTGGTGGGGTGGGGAAAGGTGGATGATATGGTTAGACCTACACTTTAAATAGATCAATTTGACAGCTAAATGGAAGATGTACTAGAAGAGAGAGAAACTTGAGGGACTGACTAGAAGGCTACTGCAATAGTCCAGGCATCCTTCTTGACCAGCAAGTTGGGTTATTTACATGATATCCGAATTTTAGTCTGGGTAAAGTGGCCATTCATTCAGTGTAAGAATAAGAAAATCCACAAACCACACCTACAATCAACCTATATGGAAGTCTAGAAAGTCACCTTTATCTTACACTCTGGGAGAGTTCATTCACACAGAGCTAAACACATTATAGCCTAAGTTACCCAGTCCAGAGCTCTGGAAGCCAGCAAGTGATATTGTTAATTGCCACATATTCTAATGCAAGGAGATTTTGAGATCCAGGATTTTCATCCTGTAAAATCCTTATCTATAACCTTTGGTAAACTGTCCAAAACATATTAACCCAAAGTATTAGAGATCTTCCTGTGGTTTTTTTTTTTAACATTTCATGTGTACTATCAGAATACTCTGCCTATCTCCCTACTCCTGTTACATGACCAGTCATCTTTTTCCATAATGACCAAACATGTATCATTGAGAGTTTGAGCCGGAGGCATTTAGGGTTAGATTGGGAAGAGCTGGATTAGAGGTCATCTAGTTTAATCTCTTCATTTTAGAGATGACAAAATTGAGGTCCAGAGAGGTTATACAACTTCCCCAAAGTCATAGTGGTAAAATGTGCCAGAGGAAAGACTGGAACTCAGGGCCCATGACTCTAAGGTCTGCATGCTCTGCATTGTGCTGTGTTTCCTAATATCCTTCCTGCCACTGTTTTTGCTCCTAAGTGACCATAAGATATATGTGAGCAACATTACCAAGACTACTATTAGCTCCTTGCCTTTTCTGAAATGCTTTAAAATTAACAGAGCTTTTCCCCTACAAACACTGTGAGGCAGGTTGTACAAGTATTATTATTCCTATTTTACACAAGAAAATGTATTCTAAGAACAGTTAGGTGGCTTGCCTAAGGTTACACAACCGATAAGTAAAAGAGTCCACACCTGAATCCAGGTGTTCTAACCTCAACAAGCAGTCACTGGCTCTGGAGTCAGAACCTGGGCTCATATCTTGCCTCTGATACTACTTGTGTGACCTTGGGCAAGTCCCTCAGCTTCTTCCTCTGTAAAATTCGAGAGATGGACTAGATGGCTCTGAGGTGTCTTCCAGCTTAGGACACAGACAGTGTTATTTCTTCTCACTCAACAAATATTTATTAATCATCTATCCAGCAGGTAGTATGCTGGGTCTTGGAGATATGGATACAAGAGCAAAATAATACCTACCCTCAAGGAGATTCTATTATGTCCTGGGGAACATGTACACATATAAGTAAAAACAAAATATTTTCAAAGTAGTTGGTTGGAGGCATTAATAGCGGATATAGGAAGTGGCACTTGAATTGAGCTCTGTGAGTCTACAAGACTAGAGAGGACAATTTCGGGTATAAGGGATAGTCTGTGTAAAACCACAAAAATGAAAAAAGGAATGTTGTATTTCAGAAACATAAAGAATAGTTTTGCTAGAATGTAGAACATGTGAAAGGGAATAACGTGTTATAAATCTGGAAACATAGGGTGGACACACACTGCCATCCACAAGCTTGTTGTTGTACTTCCTTGAACCCTTCATACTCAAAGACTTTCCAGCTCACTCAAAGAAAGAGGCCTGCTCTTACTATCATATAACTCACCTGCTTGAGTTTTCACTCAGTAGGCTCATTCCCTCTTCTGTAACAATCACATTCTTCCCTTGTTTAAAGAGCATGGTCAAATTCACCTGGCCCAAGGCCAGTGGAAAAAGCACTCAGAGGTTCTGGAGTCAGAACTTGGGCTCAAATCTTGCCTCCAACACTACTTGTGTAACCTTGGGCAAGTCACTTGAGCTCCTCAGACCTCAGCTTCTTCCCCTGTAAAATTCAAGAGTCAGACTAGATGCCCCTGAGGTGTCTTCCAGCTTAGAACCTAGACAGATACTATGATATTCCCTTGAATAACCTCATTCAATTCAGACACTATTGCTCTACATTCCAGTCAGTCTGCAGTGATGTAACATTAACAATAACAACATATCTATAATATTTTAAGGGCAAAGATTCCCTAACAACAATTTTATAAGGTAAGTAGTTTAAGCATTACTATTTCCATTTTTTTCTCCAGATTAATGATATACTAGTGCCTTCTCCTCCAACTGCTTTGTATTTAATTACCTTGCATTCATTTGTATTAATCTTTTAATATTTATTTTGTATAGACTTAGATGTGCTTGCTGTCTCTCCTGACAGAATGTAAGCTTCTTTAGGATAGAGACTGTTTCATTCTTTGTATTTGCATGCCTAATATCTAGTCACATACCAGGCATTAACTGGCTGATTCAAGTAGTCAAAGCACATCTACAACTATTCTCGAAGTTATAGACTTAGAGCAAGGGTTTCCCAACCTTTTTGGGTCCCCTTACCCTTAGGCTTCCAATAAATCTTTCAGTAAATCCTATTGAATATGAAAGGATATAAATTCCAGAGTTTGCCATGCCTATACATGTAAGAAACAAAATGTTCTTAATGCCCAGTATTTTGATGCAAAAAGACACAGGGGTTCAGGAAATCTGTATGACTCTACTCCATGGGGTCACAGTCCTTGAGACAGTATTGGATCAGATGATAATAGTTTATAACTTTATAGTTCCATAGGTGCTGTTCCAAATTTCCTCTCGTCAAGCCTTTCACGTCACCCTCAACTCTCAACTACTTAGTTGAGTTCAACTCTTAATTCACCAAAAAAAAATTCTTCCAGAGCCCCTCCTTTCCTTCTCCTGCTCATCTCATATCATTTCAACATATTCCTCTACTATCTCTCTCTTCCTTCTAGTGAAGGAAGTCTCAGATGAAGAGGTGGCCCTTCTTGCCAAGGCAACAACAACCCCCACT